ATAGAAATACAAAGTATCTTCAATGTTTTCACATAAATATACATGCTTACATATGCAATTACATACATATACCTAGTATTTCTTGAAAGTCTGTCTGTCTTCACATTTGCACACACATACCCTCTGCATGGCTTTGTCAAGTTACTCTGTGTTTGTAGCAACCAGAAGTCATCTTGTTTTTAAAAAAAGCATTCCTCTCATCTAAAGGTACTGAGATGATTTACAAGTATTTTACATGAAACCTGCAAACTGGTATCTATTTACATTTTTATAGATGGGGGGGTGGAGGGGGGGGAGTAAGGGTGCAAAATGAGTAAGGTTACAACCTGAGTCCGTGGCAGTAGCAAAAATAACGTGAAGCAGTTCTAGACCTGTATGGGTATGCTGACAACATTATTGAGGTTGAGGGAGAGACTCCCCTCTCTCAACAAGACCTGCAGCAGTTGTTGGATCTGCCACCATAAGTGTGCTATCTCTTTTGTTTAAACCAGCAAAGTTACATGCAAAAGTAAGCCTAATAGCTGTAGGAATCAGAAGCAAAGAGTAATGGGGAATTGTTAAGGCTTTTCTACCTAGGATATGAAGAGCTAGAGAAAAAAATAATTCAGAACAACCACTACAGTTATCAGGTTCTTTGAATAAAAAGAAAACATCCACTAAATAATACAAAATTTCATCACTTCAGATACTAACTGCATACCTGGTCTCAGTCAGCCAGAAGACTCCAGGCAGCTCTGCAACCAGCACAATTAATGAAGGTCAAATTTTTAAAAAACGTGACTTTTGTACCTTTAATATACATGAACTGGGTTTTGTTTCCTCTCTTGAGCTCCCAATCGTCACGACATACATAGGAGCTTTGTGGCTTCAAGGTCAGACTACCCATTTCAAATCTAAATCCAACTGAGGAAAAAAATCTGACAAAAGCAAGTGTCCAGACAACACATTACCTAAGCCTTGTCTCCATAGAAAACTAGGCTATGAAGAACATTAACCACTACAGCCAGAATGAATGAGTCTTACACTCTAATCTTATTACACTATAATATTCAACGCCAAAACTCTGAGGAAGCCTCTAGACACAAAAGTTCGTAAGTCAAAAAGCCCTGGGAGCAACTCCAAGAGTTTTGCATGAGAAGCTCACAGACTGAGCACCAAGGGCCAGCTGCTCCACCAGAGCAGGGGAGCTGGCAGGGTCGGCAGGGCGGTGGCCTCGCCACTAAGATAGAAAGTCCCACAGTACCTGGACAAGAAGTGCAGGTTGGGTGACAGCAACCAGGGTCAACCACGGTTGGGGCAGGTTTGAAGTCAAGTCAGTGGGACTAGGCAAGCGGCAAGGGCCCGAGCTCCAGCACAGCCCCCAGGCAAACTGGGGAAGCTTCGAAGCAGGCTTTTCCCAGCTCTGCCTCACCACCCAAACACCTGCACATCGTCAGGGCTGGCCTCCAGCACAGGCAGCCCAAACCCCTGGAGAAGGGCTGGGGGGACTCAAACAATCCAAGTCCAACAAGATTAATTAGCTTTTGGAAATTATAAATCAGAATCAGGTGGTTTAGTTCGGCTAACAATAAGCCTAAGCCAAAGCATGGTCACACTAATGAATACCCTCACTGTGGATTCTTATAGTTAATAAGTACTGAGAGAAATAAACACTATCGAGTCTGGAGGTGGCTGCTCCCAGACGACGTTCTGAGGCGTTCTATACTTGTCCTTTACTGGTTTCTTAATTTAAAAACCTTTAAATCATTTTCATGGATATTACTTCTGAGGACTCCATAGCACAAAACGATTACAAAACACAAAAAAATGATGAATGCTTCTTTTCTAGCAGCTAGCAGGCTGCTGTGTTTATGGAGGAAAGCATTCATAATGTAAAGCACTGTAGAAAAAGAATTTGTTCGTATCATGCCCCCTGTCATATGCTTTTCCGGCATCTTTGAGTTATGATGAATTCAATAACCAATTTTAAGTATTAAACATTTAACAATCAACCTGAATGTAAGTCTATGGCACCCTCTTGTGTTCAACAGTAATATAACAGTTTATTTTATTCTGAATCTTTCTAGACTCGGTGTGTTGTTATTCAAGAAAAACCTGTTGAAAACAAATCCATCCATTAAATCACGATTAATACTTTTTGTATTAATCTAATACTCTGCTTGGGCTACCTCTATTTTATTGTGAAGATCACAGATGCAACATTAAATAGCTACGAAATTAATTCCAGATAGAACCAAATAAAGGATTAAACTAATTCCTGATATACACAAGCTCTATTCTGTAATGATGTAGCCTGTTGCAAGAATCTACTGGACACAAGTCTCACATTAAAACACAAGAAAGAAATTGAAAATGAAGAAGTAGAAACACAAACATGTCAATGAGCAAGATTAGTAGACAAAGGAAAAACATGACTACATTGTTAGAGAGCCAGGCTGAGATTATCCTAATTAGATTCCCAGCTAACGAACATCCTGTGACTTAGTGAGGTGCCTAAGGTTATCCCGTGTCTCAGATTCGTATCTATGAACGGAGATACTTAACTTCCTGGGTGTGGACAGTGGCTTCATTACTATTTAGAATATGCTCAGGTACATCAACCACGCCATGGTAGAGGATACACATAGTCAGAAGTCAAAACGCTGATTTCATTGTTTGCAGCTGTATTAATTTCTTATACTCAGCCTCTTCTGTTCTAAGTCACAATGTTATTTCTGGATATTAGGAAAAAAGGAAACATGCTCACAAGCGAATTCCTGAATGAGCCTAATACAACAAAGGTAAGCACAGGGAGAAGAAAAGGAGGTGAGGAAAAACAGGACAAAAGCAGATTACTTTCTTGAGCGAGTGATATTAACATTTACACACCTATCACTAAGGGAGAAAAACGGAGAGATATTTAGTATGATTGATACCCTAGTCTGCTTTACTATTCCACTTCTACATATAAAAATCTCTTTATCCAAGTGTTCAATGAGATGCATAGGTATAACAACTCCAGATAGTTCTTCTCTGATTAACCCTCAAATCCATCTCTGTGCATGTAGCTCAACCGTTGTTGTTCACTTTCCAAAAGAAACATCTGGCTGGGGTTCTCTCAAATATCAAATGTAGACAGATTCGGATGATCTAAAATTGTTCCAATAAAATGCAGTAGTATTACAAAACTGTTTAAGATGAATTGTTACCAAAAAAGCCCTCCCACTCCCAATCAGAAAAGGCTTGGGAATTGGTACTAATGGGAACATCAAATCCGACAAGACGACCAGAAACAAAACAAGCTTTATTCTCTACCAAACCCTTAAATGAAAGTGATTCTTTTAAAGGTGGCATACTGGTTTTGGCTGGGATAGAGTTAATTTTTTTCATAGTAGCTTGTTTGGGGCTATCTTTTGAATTTGTGATGAAAGCAGTGTTGATAACACAGGGATGTTTTCCTTATTGTTTAGACAATGTCAAGACCTTTTCCGCTTCTCACCCTGCCCTGCCAGCGAGTAGGCTGGGGGTGCACAAGAAGTTGGGAGGGGACACCGCTGGGACAGCTGACCCCAACTGACCAGAGGGATAGCCCAGACCGCAGGACATCATGCTCAGCAATAAAAGCTGGGGGAAGAAGAAGAAAGGTGGGGGATGTTCGGAGTGATGGCGTTTGTCTTCCCAAGTAACCGTTAACACATGATGGAGCCCTGCTTTCCTGGAGATAGCTGAACACCTGCCTGCCGATGATACAGCCATTTAGAAATGTAGAAGTCCTAGCCAGAAGAAATAATCAAATAAGGCTTCTTTGTATTAATTTTCACAAACTCCACTGTTATTATTTTATGTTCTATTTCACAGTACTAGATTCAGAAAAGAAAGTGAAACACAAAGATGCTTATTTCATCCAAGGAGGGAAAGCCAGGTGTAATAGGGGTGTTTCACTGTTTATTCTAGCAAGTGCGAAAGACTCCAGAGCGACAATAAAACAAGAACTCTGAAGAGAGAGTGCTCGTGTAAAAGAGAGTGTGAGGGAGAGAAGTATTCTTGAACGTGCAATAAATAACACTGCACACCACTTGTCAAAAAATATTTTAATTTTAACAAAAGCCCAGCATCATCAGTCTCACACATCAGAAGTTATGGAGCGACATGTAATGCATTCAGGTGTCTCCATGGAAAGGATCAAGTCCATACGCCTTATATAAAAATATTTTCCAATTTCATATTTAATCACAGAATCATAGAATAGTTTGGGTTGGAAGGGACCTTTAAAGGTCATCTAGTCCAACCCCCCTGCAACGAGCAGGGACATCTTCATCCAGATCAGGTTGCTCAGAGCCCCGTCCAGCCTGACCTTGAATGTCTCCAGGGATGGGGCATCCACCATCTCTCTGGGCAACCTGTGCTAGTGCTTCACCACCCTCAGCGTAAAAAATATCTTCCTTATAAGGTCAGTGTTATCTGTTCAACATAAATTGTTGAATTTTTGTAAAAAATTCATTTTGTAATATTGTAAGTCTTTTTGATCCTAAATTAATTTTCAGATAGTAGAACAGAATGGGTTTGATACAGTAACAAGTATCAAACAAGTAACTTTTTTCCTCTTGCGGAGAAGGAAAACTTAAGTTACGTCAAAAATACTTTCACAAATCATTCCAGTATTTGAGAAAAAGTGGTGATTAATAACGACATTAAGATGTAGAGATGATTTGGTGTGATGAATTCCACTGTTCTATATATGGATCTGCCTCTAAGGAGTCTAAATTCTCACATTCTTTACTCTGTCAACTAGGTAATATTTGCTCCTTGTAAAATCAACTTAATTGTTCATAATCCCTTTTGGATATTTGTGAACTTAGCACATGGGAGATGAGAGGATGTAAAAAGGTGTTAATTTATTTTTTGTGGTTGTGTGTGGCTTATTTTAGCAGAGAATTAATTATGCACACCTTTCATTAATTTTCATTCTCTACACATCATGAATCATCTGTCTCATACGGTACTGCTTCTTTCTTGCTTCCGGGTTACTAAACCAAAATTGCTGTGTAAGGCTTCCAAAACCAAAACCCTGCTCAGTTCTACTGTTGAGGGTAATAAAAGCTGTTACATTGCTATTTGCTCAGACTAACAAAGCTGAAGATTTCAGAGTCCTAATCAGAAAACATTTACCCTTTACAACATTCTCATTGAATTTACAAGCCACTACTCTTCTTACACTAAAGTCAGATACTTCAGGTATTACCACCCTGCTTCTTGTAAAGAGTCAGAGCATATAACCATGCACTTCCAGCTGAAGAGTTACCAAGGACTTATCATGAGGTATACGTACAGTTTGCATAAACACAATCGTATTCTGTAGCACATTCAGTGTAGGTAGCAAAATGGAAAAATGGCTCAAACGAGTGAGTGTATTCGCGTGCAAAGAAAATTCTGAACAGAATTTGGGAACTCAGCTTATCATTTGCCATTGTGATATAAGCAATGCTATCCATTCCACAGTCAGCTGAGCCATCCTGTGGTACTTTGCCATAAAGATCTAAACTAAACTGGTATTAAAAATAAAATTGGAGCACTCACAAACAGATATTATTTAACTAAGGCATTGAAAGGTTTAGAACTGGACTAATCCTTTAGTTTCCAGTAAACACAGCCTTTCTGAATGCAGACTGTCAACAGACATCTTTCAGAATCACGTCCAATGAGTAAAATTTAGTTATGGCTTATGCACAAAGGTTTTTGAGTATGACATGATTCAAGCTGTGCTAGTTAGTGAGAATTTACATTTGCTTCAGAAGGGTTATACAAGCTCATTAACAATGCAAGGTGTTTGATTTTTTGCATTATTAATTCAGCTTTACAATACATAGACAAAAAATAAATCTTTCATGAAACAGCCAAAGTAATTCACTTGTATATCAGCATCACCAAGGATCTTCTTCCACCTACAAGGAGTAAGAATAAGAGTGAAATTGAATGCCTAAGTGTTGGCTGCGCTAAAATGTATTTGAAAGTTTTGAAGACTTAGTTTTATGTAGATAATAGAACACAATTTCTCTATACTTCAATATTGCAATGATAAATTCAAAAGCAATTTTGTTTTGAAAATATTAAGCAATATTGCTGCAATCCCATTAATACAGCTTCATAAATGCTGAATAGTCTCAATACTTTTCACCTCCCTTGCAATTAATTCAAACAGAGCACAGTGACTGTGCCCACTCTATAGAAGAAACCGTATGTAAGCTGAGTGACAAGTGCAGTTAACCACAGAGAGTTCTATAGGTACTATACTTGATATTGTTAAGTAGGTGGATCCCCTATTCAAGCATATCTTATGATTTCAGATGCTGCATCCAGTAGACTACTTAGGGAAAAGACATAAATGTGTATAGAGAGAGAGTTAATATACACTGTTACTAATAAGGAGAAGTTTTACAGGTTCCAAATACGAGAGTTAAGCGTGCAAGACTTAAGTACTTACTAAGGCTTGACGCTGTAATATTCTTCTGGTGTCACAATTTTCAATCCACCAAAGTAGTCCAGGACCCAAATATTGGTGATGTTGAATTTGGCAAAGAACCAATTATGATCCTTAGGCCAATTTTCCATTTCAGGGTGGCGACTGAATAATGCTTTTTTTGCTAAGCCCGCTTCTGAATCTTTCACCTAAACAATAACCAGCAAAATATTACAGTAAGATACAGTCATGTGAAGAAAAATTTTAGCTAAAAAAAACCCCACTGCTGACTGCAGTGTGCTCTTTTCTGTTTAGCCATGTCTTGTCCCAAAGGACTCATTACTGTGGCAGAGTCCACTCATCTTCAGTGTGGCGTACAACTACATGAGACAGACAAAAACTCCAAGGTAGTTGCTTTTAATATTATATCAAAAGGGTGTTTTTAAAGTAAGCATGAGCAAGAAAGTTCTTCATCTACATAAGAATAAATCTTTCAACAAATCACAAAACAGAGGAGTATGGATTCTTGCTGAATTATTACAATGCAATGTTTTGGGCATAATTTCACCTCCTCTGCACCTGCTCACACAAACAGACACAAACAGATCCAACTGTGTTCAGATGCATGCAAACACACACACACAAATGGGATGATATAACAGAATCTACAAGAGAAGGGAAGCCAAAACGTGTGACAGCATTTAATATACAATCTGCAAGTATTTAAAGGGTTAAATCAACAAGTTAGAGCTCTGGGTATGGTACAAGAGGAACTAATTAAAATAAACAATTCCATTACTTGGTAAGAAACCCATGACAGCAATTAAAGGATTGCTGGAGTGTACTGTACAAATATCTGAGGTGTGAAAACACCAAATAAGAATTTAGACTATCATATAGGAGAGACTAATGATGATTAGTCCTCATCCTCAATCATTATCCTCAATAATGGGATTAAGATCTTCAATGACTAACACATGCAGTTCTAAATTCCTTCTATGGGACACCAAAGTACTGGTGCATGAAAGAATACTGCCCTGGCAGCAACGCCACCAGACAATACAATGCACTTTTTCTGTCTCTATTACCTGTAACTTTATAGCTGAGGTTAATATTTACTTCAATAAAGTTTCAGAAGCATGTATGTCACACTGCATGGACCAAAGAACTTAACTGAGCAAAAGAGATGGATAAACCTTCACACTTCATTCACAAGAGAACTGTCTTAGACTTCTTAGTTTCGAAACAGGCCTAGAGGAACGAGGGAGGTTTCCTTCATTACAATATCGTCCTCCCAAGTTCCTTGCTAAAGACATGCCAACATAGCTCCTGCAAATATCAAGTGGTAGCTTCATCTTCCTCACACAAACTATGAGCTAGCCTTCTGGTATCACAGCACATAACACCTCTTCATATACTTTCGCACAGAAATTCTAACCTTTCTCCTCTCCATTCACTAAACAATACTATTTGGTGCACACAATCTCGTCCAGTGTCAACTTTCAACTGCTTACCTTTACAATACTCCCACAGAAGATTATGTGGGCACAGAGGGGATTCTGGGGATCATATCCGTGCTTCTTGCAGTAAGGAGTCTGTGCCAAAGACACAGTTAAGGAGGCATTTGAATTGATCTGAAATGCAAGTAGTGCAATAAGAGGTTTACGATTTTTTGCAAGAAAAATGCCATTAACTTAACTTCATTAAGTTAATTCTGGTGGAAGGACAAAGTGTTACTGAAAGGTAACCATCTGAGTTTCACAACTGTTGATGAAATTAGTTAAAAACAAACACAGACACCACCCCCACCCCCCTCAAAACAAGCCTCCCGGCTGCCCCCAAACCGATCAGCTCTTTTGAAGTTTAAAGCTGATTTTAAAAGTTAGGTTTAAAAAATCCTGAGTATTTAAATAAGACACCTAAATTGAAGAATTAAAGAATCTGTATGTGATTGTTTTTCTAAAACTAATTTGGTGAACGTAGCTTGAGAAGCAGTGGTGCAAAACAGGGTTGCCTACCGCAGAACGTCACATGCTAAAGTTCATTTTCTCCCAGCAAAGAAAGTTTACGCGCTTTGGGAAATGTCATTAGAAGAGCTCACCCACCAAAGAAGCTCCCAAAAGTCACTCAAGCACTACGCAGGGTACCACTGAACTGATGAGACAGGAGCCACCGCCCAGCTCTCAGCGCTGGTGGGAAGTCCCGTAACTACAAAAGAGCTGACTCACGATTACTCAGCACTCCCTCCTACCACGCCTCTCCCTTGCACGGGACCGTGACCGTTTCCCTAACTTTTTAGCCAGCTCTCTCTTGACCGCAGCCAAGCAAAAGAGCTGGCACAAGGCCGACTGCAGGCGCTCGGAGCCTCAGCGTGCCAGTCCGCCGCCTGCCTTCGTGCGCTTGCCCTTACGGTAAGCTCCGGAGACTTAATTGCTGCTCCTTCAGTAGCCTGCGTAGGAGCCCTCTTTGCTCAGGTCCCACGCTCCCAGCCTCCAGTCCTTTTGACACGTTCTTGTGACGTTCTCCCCGTCTAAACATTCTGCGGCCCCTCATTTCTCTACTCGGTGCTTCTGGAAGCTTCAGCCGCTTCCTCTGCCCAGGGCGCTGCTTAGCGATTTTCCAGACCGTGATCAGCGGGAACTTCTTAGGAGGACTACTGAGCGTCAACGCAGGCAGCACCGCTCCGTGTTCAGACGCTCAAGGGCTAATCATTGTCCCCGGGGCTCACAAATGAGGCGACGTCCCTCGGACAGGCAGGCAGCGCCACTACGCTGCCTCCAGAAAGCGCCGGTGTAAACCCCGACTCCTACCAGGGGAATTCCAACCGCCGCTCGCTACCGAGACGAAAAAGCGCAGGCGGCCAAGAAAAACGTGACGTTGCGTTAGTAACCTGCGCGCTCGCGAGTTCTAAGTCTCCTTCGTCGGGGTCACCGCTTGTATTTGCGGCTTGCATATACACCAGCGTCAGAGCTGATTTGGCAGGGACACCCCCCCCCTTCCCCCG